GGACATTTCAACCGACCCACATCAACTATACTGATGACAGCTTCATCTGCAACTGCACAGGACTTTCCGAAGTGAACCTGAGAGCTGACTTGATGTTCGGGAAACTGCAGCAACTAAAAAAGACACTTCTCTTGGCCCAAATATGGTTCATTCTGCTATACTGAAGGAAGCACCCTCAATCCTGGCAACTCCTCTTAGCATGATGTTCTCACATTCGCTAAGTCGAGGAAAACTATCGGAAAATTGAAAGCTGGCCCACATCATACCAATTTTCAAAGGAGGCTGACGCAGCGAACCTTCAAGTTGCCGACCAATGGCTCTTCTCCCTTTACCTTCAAAAATCATGGAGTCCCTGATATGCGATGGTATACATGATCATTTACTCTCCTTAAATTTCTTCTCACCTAAACAGAGTGGTTTCAGGGAGGGTTACTTTTGTATAACCAAACTGCTGACTGCTGGTTACAGATAGACAAGCATCCTTGATCGCAAGGGAAAAGCTGATATCATTTATTTTGATTTCTCAAAAGCTTTTGATAGGGTTAACCATACATGTCTTCTCAATAAGCCCAAACGATTGGGTATCAGACCACCTCTAATTCAAAGTGTAAAGCAGTCCATCTGCGACATGTCGCAGACCACAGTTACAACTTAAGAAACTCCTCTCTAGTGGTATTCCTAGTCGAAAAAGATTTAAGAGTCTTGATGCCCTACGATTTAAAGTACCACGCTAACTGTGACAAAAATGCCTTTCGAGCAAACCTTGCACTGGTAAAATTGAAGCGCATTTTTGGCCAGTTTGACTGTATGACTTTCCACATAATCTTCAACAGTTTTATTCGTTTTCATTTATAATATAGAAACATAGTATTTTCTCCCTCACTCAAAAAGGATAAGGACACTCTGGAACGTATCCAATGACGAGCCACGAAATCAGTTTTGGGACTCAAATTCAAACCTTATGAAGAGCGCCTTCAATCACTTAACCTTTACCTATTAGAGTATAGTCGTCTCAGAGACGACCTTCTAATGGCTTACAGTATCCTTAACACTTCTGGATATCCCCTTAAACACATACTTTAGCTTAATCTTAATACAAGCCTTAGAGGTAACACCCAGAAATTGGAGATACGACATAGCAGAACGGACTGTAGACACAACTTCTACTCCTTAAGAGTTGTCGAATGCTGAAATTCGCTGAAATTCGCGACTTCACAGGAGTCCTTTAAGAGGAAACTTGACCTTTTCTTAAGGACTAAGGATGACATCTTATTATGAGTTACCAATTGCTTTTTTTTAATCTATTATAGTTAATATGCCTAGGTTCCTGCCTGGAGGTATTGATGATACCCTGCTACTAGACACGGAAGCCTGTTAAGCGAAAGCTTCCTCTATTCCTTCCACAACCATTTGAACCATTTAAACATCTGCCTGCTGGAAATGACTATAATGGATATACGAAACCGAAATCCTAGAAGCCTTCAACAGTTAAATACATGTCCATCCATACAGTCCACTGATAAAATTTTGTTACGATTCCCGTTTGCATAATCCTTTCTTTTACCTGGATCAACAAGTAATTTGTGACCTTCGATTACATACAATGAAGAATTTAAGAAAATCCTGTACTCATTTCCGTAAGTCTATGCTCAAACAAACATCATTTTTCAGATGCAATCAACCACCGGCTGCTTGTAGGCTGAATGCGAGCATTTTTTAACGATCAGTCTACTTTGCAAGAAGGACAGTGACGTTTACCATGATATTGTCGAGATAACAAACTTTCACCATTGTGTTAGTGGTGTTTGAAAGACGGCAGTAACCACAGCTTATAACTTTCGTCAATTTTTACCAATGAAATAGATTTTTAGTGGCTGTGGATTAACACTGAATCCCAACAACACGATCTTAGAATCTCAATAAACAATAAGATTCACATTGGCCGTTAAACACCTAGAGAAGGCAAATCATTGTGAAAGCAATAACAGTTAATTAACACTGCGTGGCTCGTACGTGCTGACGTGACCAGTCTGTAAACACATCTCCTTTGTATTGAGTATACTCATGTATCAACAATCTGATTGTGATATTTGAATATTTTTTACAAATAATACCGCTGACCGTCACAATAATGTGAGTCAGTATCGGTAGCGATGTAACATCGACGAAAGAACATATAGGTTAGGCAGTCATTTCATAACAAGTACACAATGCAGAATTAAATCTATTATTCTAGCAGCATTAGTAATAGTAACAGTAGTGTACATGGGACTGCAACGTATGCAGCATTCTGCCATTGTAGAGCACTTTCATGCTCGTTGTTTTACCAACATCATTGCAAGTGTTCGGTACCTCACTAAGGGAGCAAGATATTTAAAGTTGTTAGCACCTCTATGTAAGTACTCGAAAATCAAGGGAAAATGTCAGGGTGCTACAGTGATGGTTGACTGTATTTATGGAGGAGGGGAGCAAGAGGCTATAATAAAATACAGTACAGAACGACTGCAACTCCCGAGAAATGTTATCAAGAGCTCCAGTTCGAATGTGAGTTAATTATTTAAGGTTTTGCATCTCAACTTTGGAGGATTTTCAAATTAGTATTCCCGGTCAACCCTGTACTTACTCAATGAACCAATCATAAATTACCTATTAGGTAGTCTGTTTAACTGTTTCTGTAGATCAGTTAATATGCAAGACTTATTTATAGCTTTATTTAGTTGTCAAGTTTATGTTTTACACTTGTTCCACTGACGTGGCTCTTCTTCACGAAAATGCCACAGGTATTCGAAGTTTGTCAACGCTTTGACTAGTGACACCTAATATGAATCGTACCCACCAAGTGAAATCAAGAGACAGAAACGAGGAGGTTCGAAGATATATTTGATAGGCTATCAATATATCAAGGATCGTCTGAACTAATCTGGTAAGCGATTGCAGAGTTTGTTGAGCACGGCGTTCCCACTCGTGATCTGGTGCGGATGCATGACCAAATGCCTTCAGCTAGTCGAGTTCATTAAAACTAATGTGGTCAGCTTCCAATATCGAAAACTTACAGAGCTATTTATTTTTTAGATTTATTTACCGCTACATTCGTAAACTATCCACAAACTCACCTGATATAGGTCATGCAAGTGATCGATATGATGATCTGTTAAAACAAACGAAGAAACAGATAACTTGTTGGAATATCTAAATAGCAGGAACAGGTAGCCTAAATATTCAAGCAGGCCGTATTGACTAGTGGTCTTACTATTTTTCCCATCACAGTAGACACAACGCATTTCGTAATTTCGTAATTCTAAGTGCTTTAAATGTGGTGATATCAGACATATCCAGTCAGTTTGTAGTGCTACTGTTCATCTTGCTGCAACTAATATAAAGTCTTGTAATTCTGATTCTATTAGGTTCCGTATTTATAATGATCATTTATTTTTATCAACGATTTGAAAAGACAGTGTAGAGTCATATAGCAGTTCAGAGTTAAATGAAACTCAGAATCCTTGCGAGACAACCGTTTCTAACCAATCAACTTATAAGATTTCACACGTTATTGTACCAGATATGGTTTTTCCAAATGACTCACTTATTTCTGACGAAGTTCCTTGCAAATCTGAGGAAAATATGTTGAATGAACCTAGTCATGGTCAGAAACCTGATGTAGTTTTGATAGATGCTGATTTTTCTAATGATCATTTAATCTGCAGTGACATTCTTAATAAATTTGAGGAAATTATTTCAGAAGAGTCAAAGCGTGATGTCATATCAATTATTATTTGTCCTCATAATGCAATTATTTCTTGTGGGAAACTTGTTCAATCAGTAGCATAAGTACTAAATGAGCCCGATTTTGATTACAATTCGGATGATTTCATATCAACTGCTGTTTATCCTTATCACGAAGTCACTTCTGATACTTACTCTAATCAATGTGAGAAATATGTTTTAAATAAAGCCACATCATTCATAACTTGGGGATATGAAGATCCAGCAATATTTCGTGGAGGAGGATGGTCTAAAAGTCTATGGTTCGAATTCTAGGTTGCAGTGGTCGCAGTACACAACCGAAATGCTGATTACACAATCCCAGGAGGCAGGTGAGTCTGTTCTGATTTCGGTTGTTAATTGCAATACTAACGAGTACATTGTAGATAAAACGGAGTTTTTATCCAATACACTGTCGGACAGACACGGTATGAACTTAAGAAGACGTACAATCAATTACAGACTTTTAGACCCTAGTTTAAGATGTGGCGGATATGGTTTTTGAATGAACCAATGATTCCTTTGTACTTGTTGAATGCTTGATTTCCAATTCTACAACCAGTACATTCGTTTGTGCTTATCTAGTACTTGTTGAACCGATTACGTTATTTCTGAGATTCTTAGTTCGTATTGTAATTCAAATGCTTCTTATCGTCACACTATTTCAGAGGTCTACACAATAACATAGTCATTTAACATCCTGCATTAAAAACACACAATTTTAGTCATTTAGGACCGTAAATATTGGGTACGACTAATAAAATACAAAGTGGAGTATCATAAATATACTTGTAATTACTTTTCTAGTAGGGGGATGATCGTCAGAAAATATTCTTTGGCTGTGTTGGCTTCATTTTTGTGCTTCTATTAAAATATTTTTCGAAAATTTGTTTAATTAAGAGTATCAGGTTCGATGTTCTGGAACCCAGTTAGAGCTATACTATAAAGCCTAACATATTTAAACCAGTTAAGTGTCATCATCAAATTGAAAACTATTCCACATTTTACAAAATACCATATCTTTTAGGCTGAATTAAGTATTATCGCAGATTTTATTACTCTAAGGCAAAGGAAAAAAATATATGTTGGGAACTTCAGTTCTCAAACTATCTATCAGTATGTCTACAAAATAAGTTGAAACGATTGATGAAAAATAACGGCTTAATGGTAGGCATCTTTCGGAATTGCTTATTTCGGGGACTAGTATGTTTTGTTTTCTCAGTGATATGACCTTCAATGCAATCAAACGGTACGGCGTCAAAATGTACTTTGGAGTTGTTATCACTTTTTCGTTTGTGCTCGTTGAGATATATGGGGGACGCCCATCTATAGCCCTTATTTCAGCAACAAAGGACAAACCAAATCTTCTTTTTCATTATGTGATCTGTAGGTAGTCAAACATATAGTGATAATTATCCGAGTTACAGTAGAAAATGAAACTTTTAAAAACCCAAATATGGTGGCGATAGCTGCTTTTGAAGAAAAAATAAACACCACTGGGTAATTCTGTGTTTTTATCACACCTAAAATCCTAAGTTGGTCATCACTTACGGTGGCAACATCGTTTAGCTTTCCTGACTATCTACAAGCTTACTGGGCTGGGTTTTTGGAAACTAATCTCACACTCAGTTTGACTGTCTCCCATTGGATAAACACTGTCAAAGGTATGTTTCAACAGCGCTGAGGTGTTTTGTCTTTAATAAAGCTTAAGTAGACTTTCTGTAACGTATCTTGACTTTAAAGAGTATACGTACTATTTTGAAAACGAAGTTCAAAATTATCCTCCGGAACAATCTAGAGCAAAGTTACGACTTGTTTCCTTTCGTGAGATAAGCATTATATATTTTCGCCACTCACCCATAAGCTAATGGCCTTGAGTCTTTAATTCCACCTCGCGCCTGTGTTTAACGAAGCTTGGAGAAACTAACTCTTTGTAAACTTCAAAATATTCATTCGCACATTATATAGAAGGTAAATTACCTCGCGAAATGCGGGGTGAATCAGCATTGTCAAATAAATATGTTTAGTGTCTCTGTATTTTAAGCCGTAGTGTTATTGCGAAATGAAACGACCAGCCTCATTACTCAGATTTTTGAGTTTAAATATAGGTTGTTTTTGACTTTTTACTCTATAAGGATACAGTTCAGTCCACTGCGTACCTTCTAGCTTCAGTAACGTCATTATTAAGTGTTATTGAGTCTATCTTTTACTAGTAAGTTCATTCGAACCAATTATTATTGGTGTTAGTGTATAGCCTTCATTAAGATATCTTCTTTTACCTAAACATAAATCTCAATACAAATGGGCACTAAAATAAGTATGAGGCACTCAATAAGAAGACGAAACTGTAAGGGAGTAGAAGGAAATTGTGATAATGATCTAAGGAAACAAGTAAATAAAAATAAGTGGATAACAGTACTAAACAGTGGTGAAGCAGTTTAGTTGATATAATAGAAAGTTTTTTCGGCCAAAGTAGTTCATCTCAATTTTATAAAGAGAGTAAAAATAACTACAACAGGGCTGCCACATAAGCAAGATATATGATAAGTTAATTTCTATCTTTAAAATTCCCATACTAGACCATTATTACCGCCCACTGTTTTTCCAAAGTAGTATATCACAGTCACCACTCTTGTGACATTTCTTGGTAACAGTTGGGGCTTTCTAAGAATTTTTGTAAAGTAATTATCTAAGAAAACGATGTTCTACAAAAATAGGTTGAGGTAAACATGTCACGGCAAGTCAGTAGACATTCAGTTTACCTATCGTCTTGAATAATTAGGTGTTTCAAGCTCAATCCTGTGTGCAATTGTTATCAAACGATAATCGAAACGAGAACGTTTGGGGTGTGTTTCTATCCCTCTAAATACAAAACGTCCCTTGAAGGTGGGTCTGTATCAACGTCTAAGCTAATAGTAAGTTAGACGGGAACATTGATCCCTCCACTTATCTTAAAAGTCTGATCAGCTATGGCGGGTTAGTGTCCTATGAAATCTCAACACGGATCCCAAAGGCCCCGTTGAGATTACTCAACTTGCATCACGTGTGGAGTAGGAGAGACTTTCATCTACTAACTAACGGATGAGTATACTGTGCGGTCTTTCAATGAAAAGTTCGTAGACTACTAATATTCGATCACAAATACTTTCGAAACATTTCCAGCGTATATTTAGACCACCAAGTGTGTAGAAATGAAGTTAAATACGAGTTAATGGGTAAGGATGGCAAATTGAATGGTAAAGTGTTTTCATCAACCGAGTTCGTTGAAATATGTATTACAAATGCCCAACGAGTATCTTCCTCGATGTGCGATGTTTATATGTGTAAAAAGGAGGTTGGAAGAAAGCTAGGAGCGGTCTAATCAAAACCTAGTGTCAGTCTATGATGTCACGGTTTGTTGAACTTGACTGTGTAGGTAGGTGGAAACTCAGGTTGGGATCTGTGTGATTATTATAACTAATGATTAGAAGCCTAAATGACATGGTTCGGAATAGTTTTCACTGGGATTGGTTCATTTGTCCTTTGTCTACCGTTAAATCCTAAGTTTCTTAATTATTATAAGGACCATTTTTATTTCACCAATCCATATCTCAAATCATATCCTCCGCTCATAATCTTTTCTATCACCACTAATACTGTTAATATATATATTACTCTAGCACTTAATTATACTGATATGTTGTAACAACTTGAATCGATGTGTATATGTACTAGGTTCCACCTTGCGGTTGGAAGGCCAACTGACTGACTGTTAAGTGGCCATAGATTTTTAATCTCACTACCACTGATACTGTGGTTAGTTTTGCTAGATGATTTTAGTATTTGTATGCAGTAGTCTAAAAATGCATTAATAGGCCTAAAAGCCTTTGGACTCTTGTCAGTAAATTATATCTGAAATCTTATGAGAAAGAATATATCCTTGTTTAAGTCATCCTGTTTCCATGAGCATATTATGTCATCTACAGTTTATGCCAAGTTTTGGAAAGAAATTAGTCTACCCAATGAATGTTCCAAATTTCCGGTAGAAAAAACCATTAAAAACATTTACGATCGCGGTCCATTTACACTTATCTATCCTTTTTCTGTTATCACAACTAGTCGTGTGTTATGTACAGTTTATGTACTAACCAAAATAAACTACGCAGCAAAGTCATCGCTTTTACATTTGCTAGTAGGCGGGAACATTTTAAATATCAGACCTCATCAGCATTTAAGTTATTCCTGTTTACCACCAACTATACAGCTTGTCCCCAAAACTTGTATCTGTTACCAATCATCTTTCTCCTAACTAATTAACTGCCATTCATTTGATATCGGTTCAAATGTAGAACCTGTATATTAGTATTGAAAAGTTATGAGTATCTGTTTGGTAAGAAATCTTACTTTTTTAATATCTAAATAAGAATGGTTAGTAATTCGAATTAATGTTTTGTTTTAGATATGTGCCCGATTCCACTTTCTAAAGACTGTAAAATTTTACATCAGTACCTATCAGAAAATATGGCTTATATGTTAAATGAGGCATATAAACATGGTGACCATAGTCCTTTTTGGTATCAAGTAAGGATCTAACTTATTTGCTTTACTTAAAAAATGTTTTGATATAACTTAATATTCTTGATATATGTACTTTAGAAAAAACATCATGAGATGAGCTGAAGTCATTTTGTATATGAAGTCACTAGATCTTACTGTCATATAGAAATAAGGGTCCTTGACATTTTTATAAAGCATAATGTTCTCCTCCACTCATTATTAGTGCAACATTATTTGCGATAAAGTGTTTTGTTTAATATTCAAATCACCTTTTAAGAAATTAATTCGATGGAATAACCAACCCATTCCTGATGTAGATCGTATGGGTTACTGTAACTAGTTAAATGGCCAAACTTCAAACTTATAATAATCTACTGCCAAAGTTTGAGCACCGAGAATACACAAGGAGAATGAAGCATTTCAGATTTTTTTGGTCAAATAATTTTTTATGGATTTTTTGTGGAAGATCGCAGGTGAAATATACTGATGAAAATTTATTATTTTTTTTACTCAAATCGTACGAGTTTTTAATATATCTTTGATGAATGCTGCACCTCTGAAATATGATCCATACATTACCAAAAGATAGGGATTTATCTTAAATTTTCTATTAACCTCAACCACTGGAATTACGTATTTGTTCGGTCATATTTTAGTGGACAGAATAAAATGTGATGTAAGTATAAAATGCTCTGCCGGACAGCGAAACATACACCATCAACATAGAGCCTTTTGCTGATGTACATCGGTCCAAGTTTTCATACCGGATTAGCCCTACGATATGGAAATAAAAAAGATATTGAGATAATGTTGTAGCAGTGATAATGAGAAAGGTTAAACTGTGAAAGTAGAATCTAAAAAAACAAGGTGGAAATGTATGTATAAACGGTACTTAACCACCACCCCCAAGTCTCCAACCACTTGTGGCGGTTATCACGCGGACTCCAATCCAGTAATTCATCTCTACACAAATGGCTTAAACCCACAGTCAATGACTTCATAGAAATATCCTACGTTTCAGTTTGGCCGTCCGCAGCTTTCCTCTAATATACTTCTGCACTAACAAGCATCGCTCGCCGAGGTAGGCGACAATTAGACATACGTTAAACATGTCCTAACCACCTCAGTCGATGAAAATTGACTACTCCATCAAACTATTTGCTACCTTTTCCAAGTACCCTATACCTGACTTCGAAACTGTCCACTCAGTCATTACAAGAAACGTGGGTGTTTCTGAAAAACCACACATGATCAAAAACCTGAAACTTTCACATGTCTTCAGTTTTTACAGGCCATGTCTCACAACCATAAAGTAGAACTGAACTGATTCTTGTCCATCGTACACTAACTTTAGTCGGTAGATAGACATCTCACCTATACAAAATGTTGTGTAAGTTGACAAATCCCAATCAGACTTTTTGTGCAGACGACGAGAACGTTATTTATAACGGTAAGTCTATAGTGAAATTGAACAAAATAGTAGACAGTCTTGCCGGACACCGTTTGAGCAAAATCAGATGACAGTTCACTATAAGCTCTGACTCGACTGGTACTGTTCGAATAAAGAGCCTTCACATGGTTTATGTACTTCGAAACATTGCTCGTATATCATGGGACCATCGAGTAAGTAACACAGTTGCTAGGAAACGGGTACTAGGTAAGGATGGCAAATCAATTGATGAAGTAGTGAAACTTCATCAGTTGAGATGGCTGGGACACGTGTTACGTATGCCCAACGACCGACTGCCTCGACGTGCTATGTTCAGTGGTATAGGAGTAGGTTGGAAGAAAGCTAGGGGCGGCCAGACCAAAACATGGCACAAGTCCATGAAGTCACTGACAAGTGAACTGAGTCATGTTGGTAGGTGTAGACTACCTGGTTGGGGACCGCGAGATGATAGCAACGGATGGTTAGAGACCCTGAATGACATGGCTCAAAATCGTTTGCAATGGCGCAGGTGCATCCACTCTCTGTGTTCTCCCAAATCCTAATCTTCTGAATTCTTCATGTCCCTTTTTTCCTCTTTCCAAATTTATTTCACTGTATTATACTCTTTAAATAACATCTCCAAACCCTAATCTTCCCGATTACTGCTTATACTCTTATTACCTCTACCACTACGGGATTTGAATCGACAACTGCATCTCTGTGCTAATGTGGTGTGGCAACTCGAACTGATGTACGTACGTACGAAGTTCTACGTTGTTACTGACTGACTTATGTACTTCTGAGGTACACATTTCTATGACAGACACTGCCATAGAACCTCTCGGTTTGCAGAGTCAAATGCTGCTTTTAAGTCAAGAAAGACCACTAAAGTCTATTGTAAAAGATGACTTTAAAATTTCTCTAGTATGCTTGTCGTTGTTTGTTAAATAAAGAATAATACGCCGACTAATCGATACACATAGTGATACAATGTAGCTGACTTCTGATGATATCGAACTATTGATGAAAGTCCTCAAATGAACTGTTATTAGGCGATATATTTGGACGGCAAAAATAGATTTCTCCTACCAAAATAAAATGCTTATATATTACATCCGTAACAAAAAATAAACATGATTGTATGTTATTTATTGCTCAAGATAGTAGAAGATATACATATTATAGATCACCAACTCACTGATGAAATTAAAACCTGGCTGTCATATCTAATTCCTTATCGTTTTATTAAAGTCAAGATATTATTCCGTATCAGTTGTACATAAAACGACTTAATCTGTTGTTATTGATTACCTGGCTTTTATTTGGATCAAAGTACACAGGTAGACAGAGCAGCAACCACACTTTATTTACCAAACCAACAGACCGGATTGTAGACTATGTAGATTATGATACTTCAGCAAAAGTAGGTAAGTATTAAATACATAGGTATATTGATTAAGGGAATCAACACAACTATATGTCGTAAGTATTTTTTCTTTCAAAATAGCATTTACAGTGACAAGTATAAAAGGAAGAATTTGGGTGTTCAAATTGAAAATCTGGATGAAAACAGGACTTTCCACACAAATCCAGTTCATACATGATATGAAGTTACCAGTAATAATCCGAAATTCAAGTGTGAAGTTGTATTAACTTGATTAAAAGTTTTCTTGTCAGAAACTATAATTTTATGAAAATGAAGTTGTATCATAATTCACTGAGAGATAATTTATCAGCCACCTGTTGCAAATGACAATATGATCTCGGTAAAACTATTCCAGGCCTAATCATTTAAAATGTTACTGAATATTCCCATATAAGGACGTAAAAGATGCTAACCTCTTTCAATTTATGTCAGTTGGTCAATTTTTCAGTGCAATTTAAAAGAGGCAACAGGGATTATTATTATCCACTAGGGTAAATTATTTGTGGTTTTCTATAGTTCTCTAATTTCTGTCGATTAATGATCTAAATAACACTCAACAGTCTAAACAAACTCTCATACTAGAAGTATAAGATTGTTAGAACTCTCAGGTTTTAGAATTCTTTCAAATATAGTTTTCTCAACTTTGTATTGCACCCTTATTTCTTGGTTGGAATATTTTATTTACCTGATAGGATCAACACTAAATTTTAGAACCTAGACATTCTTTGTAAACAATTTATGTCCTTGTTGATTTTATTTTGTCCGATAAGTCCGTTTGTAAATGTAATTAAATATTAATATTTTTCTGGTTCACTTTCCAGGTTGCTTTACAGTTATGGCAGCTTAAGGGAATGTCTGATGCCTTTAATAGAAAATTCATCGACAGAGCGGACTTGTTAAACCGTAGTCATTTGAATACATTGATTAACGAAGTAATGGGGATTTAGTAAGTCTTCATATCTGCTAACAAAAATTGTTTGTTGATTATTTGAGGCTCGTTATAGTCGAATCTTATCATAACTAATGAAAAAGTGGATCAAGATCATACGATCTGCTTTAATTTGATAGTTACAAACACATCTTTATTTCAGCAGTATTGTAAATCGTGATCCGCGTTATGTGAAAATAATGCAGGAGTTGTATCATTTTGAAAATTAAGTCTTGTCAAAAGAATAACTACTTTTGTGCTTATTGTTAAGGCTGATGATATTGAGTAGATGACACAGCAAGTACCCTTTTGAAATCAGTCTGATTTGATCAACCGCCTTTCCCATTTCTGTTTCTTTTTTACATGGACTCATCTTTAGAGATATTCTTTTACTTTACCTGAATTTCTAAGGAATTATCTCTTACTCAAAGACTTCTACAGACTTTGGAAACGTTATAAGGTACTGATCCAAAGTAGTAATCTGGGTGATGAAGTTGTAAAGCCTCATTGACTGGATTATTCGCAATGCATATCATTCATTCCTGACCTCCCTATTTATTTTAGCCTACCTTGCTCATCTGAGGCAGGTTATATTGGCCGCACAAAGCAAACTCACTCGAAGCCCATCTCCGAAAGTTACCCACCCTGGCTTTCCTAAGAATTACAGAAGACAGTCACAAGCACAATCTTGGAGCATCTAGTCAATACTGGTCACTCGACTTTTCCAGGAATTACTTACGCCTGTTACCTTCGTGGAGAAGCATAGGCCGCCCATCACCACTCTCCATCCAACTCTGTTCTGGCCAATCATTTCCAGTTGTTATTCATACTTTCCATATCTGCTTCCAATTGTCGACACCGTGTGTTCTTCGGCTTTCTTCATTTCCGTTCCCCTTCAGGATTCCAAGTTAGCGCTTGCTTCATGATGCAGTTTGTTGATTTCCTCAGTGTATATCCTATCCACTTCCAACGTCTCTTGCTAATTTACTCTTCAGCTGGAGACTGGTTTGTTCTCTCCCACACTAGGCTGTTGTCGATGCTATCTGTTGTGACTTTAAGCCCGGCTAATTATCACGTGATTTATTGCCCAATCGAAATACGACTTATTCAATCTTAGTACTGTACTAAACCAATGACTTTCGACCGGTATGAGCAACATAGTGTCCTTATTGGTCCCTTGTTCGCCTAACCAATCCAGTTGAGTCCAGAACGCCAATAACAGCTTCCACTATGCGAATCATTTATTTCAAACATACTTGGTTTATGTACCAACCAAACAGACCACATCACCTCATAAATTAGGAAATAATATTTATACAAGATCAAGCCAAAAAGTGGCTGCAAACGTGGGAGGCTGTAACAAATAATCTGAGTATAATTTAAGAACAGTAAATCGTATAATAATATTCTATAGGTCAAAATGAAGCATATAGTAAGAGATATATGTATATAATCTAGTTACTGAATAGTTCTACGATAAGAAAATATATATATATATATAATATTAGTCTATTAATTATTCTCAGAAGTTACCCGTAATTTAATCTTCACTAGGATTAACAGTATAAATACTTGTACCTTCTTGATGGTGGTTGTTGTAGTTCTCAAACTTTCAGCTCCGTAAAGTAGAACTGCCTTGACGTTCGTATCGAAGATTCTGACTTTGATATTGGTTGGAAGGTGTTTTGACTTCCAGATGTTCTTCAGTTGAAGGAATACGGACCTTGTTTTCCTAATCCTCGCCTTTACGTCTGCATCTGATCCTCCTTGTTCATCGATGATGCTTCCCAGATATGTGGAGGATTCTACATCTTCCAGAGTTTCGCCATCAAGAGTGATTGGATTGGTATTTTCCGCCTTGAATTTGAGGACCTTGGTTTTCCCGTTGTGTATGTTGAGGCCTACTGATACAGAGACTGCTGCTACACTGGCTGTCTTTATGTGCATTTGTTCGTGAGTATGCGATAGGAGGGCTAGGTCATCTGCGAAGTCCAAATCGTCTAATTGATTTTGAGATGTCCATTGTATGCCATGTTTCCTCTCAGATGTCGAGGTCTTCATAATCCAGTCGACCACCAGAAGAAAGAGGAAGGGAGAGAGTAGACAGCCTTGTCTCACTCCGGTCCTTACTTGGAATGCATCTGTCAGCTATCCTTCATGCACGACCTTGCACTGTAGTCCGTCGTATGAGTTCCGGATAATGTTGACAATCTTCTCAAGACCTCCATAGTGTCGAAGAAGTTTCTATAGTGTTCTCTTATCTACACTGTCAAACGCCTTTTCATAATCAATGAAGTTGATGTATAGTGACGAGTTCCACTCAACTGATGTTCGACGATGACCCATGGTGTCGCAATTTGGTCTGTGAACGACGCCCAGTAAAATGCATAAAACTGCATGAACCCAGCAGGGAATGGTCCGAGTTCAGGTATGCACTTCAGTAAGAGCATTAGGCTTCTATTGAGCCCCTCGAACAATGGGTGATAGCGATGTGATTTATTTGCATTCATCGTTTTGTTGGTGTTGAGTCTCATCCGGTTAGACAATGTCCCTCTTTATGCTTAAAGTTTGTACTGACTAATGATAATCGGTCGCCTTGAGAAAACGGCTGCAAACGACCACTGTTACCTGCTCTGAGGCTCCATAAAACCCACCTAAATATTTTACAGTTTGACTTAGTCTGCTAACCTGTAGCTACGACTACCACTTCTTATCTCGTGATGTCAGGTGAAAGACCATGCTAGAACCCCATCTGCATGATTTGGAGACAGCATACATCGAAGGCACGAGATTCCAGGGTCTTAGCTATTGATGCCTGTTTTCCGACTTGAAATAGGGTTCACACATTGAAAGCTATAATATGTAGTTATGAGCGTGTTTTCAGGAAACCTGAGGTATCATTCCATTAACTCAAATCGTTAGCACTTGTGGCACATATCGAAGTAGCCGAAGATAAAAGATGAGGGTTAACAGTGGTAGTAGAAGTAATATTTAGTAATGAAGTTGGTGATTTTGTGTGCTTTTAGAGGTTTGAGGGAAGTTGTCACAGACAATTCTACTTGTGAAACCTGAAAACTGGATTAGTATTGATCTTGTCAACCTGTGAGTGTGATTACAGAGTCCGAGGTACGAATGCTTGGAACTGGTCACACACAGGTTTTCAGTAGTAAGTTTTTATTATGTCAGCTCCATATTTATAGAGGCCCTACTATCGGATATGGAAATTTATGGGGTATGGTTATTTGTGATATTTTTCGCGTCGACCTTTACTGACTTTCCAGAGTGAATAGGCAGCATGGCCGCAAATGCCGGTTGCCAGAGGGAAACACCTAAACGCTATCATATGCCTACACGGTCTTCAGTACGACCTCGCACTCGAACCTAAAGTTGCTTCTTTTAGTCTTACCTGTCGTCAATTGACGTGCTTGGTATGATAGAACATAAAAAACAAATGTTCCAGCCAATATAGATGGGTTGGATCATTACGATATGCAGGCCCGATTACGTCAAAGTATTAGTTACGGCCGTGGAAATGTCCTGTACGACAACTGTTTTACACTTTACCTCCGAAACATGTTCCATAGTTGAAAGCCTTTAATGTTCGAAATTTGTGTCGAATAGAGCAACAGACTTCTCTAACTAGGAATCTAGAAGCTCACACCATCGATGTATGCTGCGCCTCGCAAACGCACATCAGTCAGTCAGCTACAACGTAAGACTAGGCACATATGTACATCGGCCCAAGTTGCCACACCTCATTCGCACAACAAGATGAACACCGGATTCATAGAAGTAGTTAGTTCAGTGGTGGTAATATATAAAAGAAAGATTGCATACAAGGACATAGTACAGGAAGAAAGAAATAAAGATATGAAGCGATTTTACGAGAGGAGTGAGAGTGTGTACACTGACGCCATTGTGATCGATTCTGAGCCATATAACCCAGTCTCCAACCATTGGTTACAATAGTCACGCGGACCCCAACCAACTAGTCTGCATCTACCAACATGGCTCAGACCAGAAGTTAGTAAATTCACTGACTGATGCCACGTTTCAGTTTGGCCGCTCCTAACTTTCTTCCAACCATCTCCAATCCCGGATAGCATTGCACGTCGTGGTAATCGGTGTTCAGGCATACGTAACACGTGGCCCAACCATCTCAGTCGATGAAGATTCACAACCTCATGAACTGATTTACCATCATTCCCTAATACCCTGCGTCTAACCTCACTATTGCTTACCCGGTGAAACCAGCAGATACGAGCAATATTTCTAAGGCATCTATGGTCAGATACTAGTGGCTTACGAGTATCTCCTACTCTTAATGGCCACGTTTCGTAGCCGTATGGTAGAACAGAATGAACTGCTGCGCAGTATACTCGTCCCTTGATTGGTAGACGGATATCTCACCTTCGTCACAGGTGATGTATGTTGGCAAAAGCCAAACGAGTTTTCTGAGTCCGTGCAGAGATGTTGTCAGACACCAACCCATTAGGGCTGGTCAGACATCCAAGATAAGTGAAGTTTTAGATGCGTTCGACTACTTTACTCCCTATCCTTAGTTCAGGTGTTGAGGTAGACCAGTCCTTAAGTAACTATTCGCATTTAGAAGGGGGAGAAGCGCATCCCAAACATTCTGGCATTGTTGCCCATTGCTACCCAAAGACTGCATTTTATCAACATCTTCACCAAACAGGAATATATCTTCTATGTATTTTAAATCAATAAGTGGAACTCCTTGAATGAGATCAATGCCCAAAAATTTAGACGACTAGAACGTTATTTTCAGAAGTAGGTGTGATTGTTCATTTAGCATTGTGTCTTTCTTCCTGTCCATTCCAATGAATTCGTTACATAACCTACAGTTTTACATAGTAGTTCTTTTTGAACAAAATTTATTCAGTGTTATTAATTCATATTTGTAACGTCACGTTAAATTTTAATTTTATAGTTTACTACAGCTCAACGGGGATCTTGGTGACTTAGTTAGTGCCTTATCGGTTCTTACATTAAAGAAAGGCAAAAACAAAATGGGACATCCATTTATCGCTAGTCCATCGTGTTCAGCACTGATTAAAATAGTTGATAATAATGTCTATTTATCGCATGTCACATGGTCAACATACAGTATTATGCTGCGTGTATTGAAACATTACAACTTTCCATGGAAAACTGTCAATCGTACAGGTGTGTTGAATGAAATTTTTTTCACTGATTATTATTGTTCCTGCATTGCCTCCAAATGGCCTGGTACGGTCGAGAGCGGAGATAGTCTGCTCTTCCTTTCGAAATGCTCTCTCATAGCCACTCGAGGACTCGATCTTAACAAGGAGTACTGATTTCTTTAGTATTACATTTATGTCTTCTAATGAGTGCTACTTTCCACGAAACCTTGATTCAGCACTGTCTGTCTCTTGTCTCTAGTTTCCTAAGACTAAATACAATGAGTCACCATATTGAGTTATTCAGACTAATGAGCATATTCCAACTTGATCGCTCTGGTTCGTTTAATATTAAAAACTAGATTTCATGACACGATTTATTACTTAGTTGTTAATTAATGTTAATATAAACTATTAATTATTTTTTGTTGTTTCTATATATGACTGGATTATTGAAATTTAATGTTTGTTTCAATTTGTAATATTTAATAATTATAGAATTTAAGTTTATGTGATTGATTTGAAACTAATAAGCAAACTTGTTAAAACTTACTTTTATACAGTACATTCACATAGTAATCAATATAAAAGTTCAAATGTTACTCATTCCCACCAGTTGTAAACTAAATATACTTAATATAAAAATTGGATAACATTCTATTTACCTCATTGAAAATCCAGCATAAACATACTTATTTCAACTTTTATATGTGTATATAAACTTACGTATTGTTTAAGTATTATACATTTTCAGAAATCTATTACTCATTCTAAAGGACACTTAACACTGAGCTATACAAATGAAAGAATGAACTCAGTGATTAACAAGTATTAACATATAAAACGTCAAATTACATGGAATTGTGATCTATAACATGTAATCAGGTAGTTTAGAAATGATGTAAATAACTATTGTATTTTAATTTTTAGATTCTCAGAAAATTCCTGGTTTTGCAATAACATTTTCTTCATATCCAACATTTACCAGTTCAGTTGATGATTTCTACTTGACAAGTGCAAATCTCGTAAGTTAATATTTTAATCAAGAAAGTCTTGTTGTTCTGAGAACAGTCTTTATTGGGATTTAATGGTACTTGAAATATTAAAAAAAAAGAAACATCAAAGAGATGTTTCATTCTTGTCTAATTTTTTTCGACAGTATGTCTACAATGCTTCCCAGTGAGGAAAGAAGTCAGACAAGACTGTCTACTCTCTCTCTTCTGGTGGTTGACTGGATTATGAAGACCTCGACATCTGAGGGAAAACATGACACAATGGACAGCTCAGAACCAATTAGACGATTTGGACTTCGCATATGACCTGGCCCTTCTATCTCATACACATTGACAAATGCAGATGTAGACAACTAGAGTAGCGTCAGTCTCTGCACCAGTAGGCCGAAACGTACGCAATGGAAAAACCAAGATCCTCAAATACAACACGGAGAACACCAACGCAATCATACTTAGTGGAGAAACTCTGGAAGATGTGAAATCTTTCACGTAGCTGGTCAGCATCATCAATAAACAAGGAGGATCAGATGCAGACGTAAAGGCGAGGATTGGCAAAGCAAGGTCCGCATTCCTACAATTGAAGAGCATCATGAAGCAAGCGCTAACTTGGAACCCTGAAGGGAAATGGAAGGGAGGAAGGCCGAAGAACACACTGTGTCGAGAATTGAAAGCGGATATGGAAAGTATGGATAGCAACTGCAGATGCTTGGCCAGAATAGAGTTGGATGGAGAGTGATGATGGGTGGCCTATGCTTCTCCACGAGGGTAACAGGCATAATTAAGTAGTGTGTACAATGACCCCACATGATTTCGAAGTCAGCAGCCTCACATCAAATTAATTGTTATCAAAGAGTAATAAGAACACTAGTACCATTACGATCCAGAGAGTACTGGTCTATATTTGAATCCTTGTAAGAATAATTTTGGTGAACAACCACTTCGTATATCCACTGTGTTTAAACTGCTTGCGTAGATCACTGTTCTTCGATATTGTTAAAATTCTGAAAGAAAATTGTTTGTATTTTGATGGGTGGTGTCCGAGATCCGATACTGACACACAACGTGCTACGCACTAACTACAACCACCACCTGACCGTTTGAACGAGAACACAAGAGTGGATGAGAAAGTCTATTGGGTTTCTGAATCAAATATACAAATACTCATTTTTATATATGCCTCTCTACCCCTTAAAAAATCACCCTATTTCTTAGCCAATGATATGCATCTGTTCCTCAGATCCTCCGATTGACCTCATTTGTCTACTTCTAATTGGCTTACCATATCAGTTTATATTCTTTTTTTTTGAGTTTGGACAATACTATAAATATCTTTTCTAAGCTCAACGTTTTTTCTGTATGATAAGCTACCTCATGATCAATTTTAATTCGAATATTTTAAGTTTTCATTATGATCGCTGTTCGTTTAAAAAAATTTCAATGAAATAAATCTATTCTTTTTTGAATAGTCTATAACTACATAAACATATACACTGTGATTCAATGAAGTTCTTAACAGTAATACTAATTCACATCTGTTGAATTAGAGGTGACTTGTTGAAACTGATTAACTCTCTAGAGTTTAAACCGATGAGTCTTAACTTACAGTTCGTGTCAGTATACTTAGTTGTCATGCAATTAATGGTTGTAGCAAATTACGTATACTAATATTTTATCTACCAGGAAATAATCATATTTGCAATTAATAGGGAGTGATTTATGCTATTGTTTTATCGAGGTATTTTTGTACAATCTGTTTAACATCATAAAATGATTTTAAAAAATAGTTATATAACTAGTTGTGGAAGAAGTATCTTACATATTTTTGTAAAATGTTGTTTCACAATTTAACATCAGTCTTGAATAAAAAAGGAAGCTATGATTTTTATTTGTATACCAGACTATTACCGAAACTACCAATAATGTATATAATGATTCATTATGGAATATTGTTCGAAATGGTAGTAGAAATTCTGTATTCACATTTATACGTGGTATGGTTGCCAGTCGCTTGGCCAAAACAGGGGACGAATGGATTGCATATTTCAAGTACAACAACAGTGGAACGTAAGTAATCTGTCACATTCTTTGGTTGTAATTAAGAAACGCTGGTACGCAAAGTTCCAAAAGCTCTCTCGATTTTCAGTTTACATCACGGAATGACTTTAATTAGACAACCGAAAATATCAGGGATCAATAAATAGGTGCTTCGTGCAAGTATGGTACTCTCTAGAAATGCAGACTCACAACTTTGTCAGACATGGAACCCACGACCTTTAGATCTCACGACGAAAGAGTTTCTATTAGATTGCTGACTTGGCAAACAATGGTCTGCAATTTCAAATTTAGTTAAATTACTGGACAATAAAAGCGCAGCGGATCGTACAGTAGATTAGATCACATATCATACCTTAACCATATTTTCAAATCATATTTATTTAACTAGATAATTTTTCCGACTTTTGGACCATATGATGATATAAGCTTACAATTAAGTACAAAAATGATCACAATCTCAGTGAAGCCACACCTACAATCCTCTTTCCTCAAGAAGTACTTGTTCAGACCCAAAAAAGCCTTAGGTCGTATATTGACTTGGAAAGCATCAGTCTTTAAAAGATTTTTTCGTTTAAACTATTTAAAATTATCATTTCAACTCAACCATAAACCTAAAATTAAATAAATTGTTAACTTAAGTGCATTGCCAATCAAATCACACGTAACGGAGAAGCTTTGGAAGATGTAAAGCCTTTATATATCTGGGCAGCATCATTGATGAACACGGTGGATCCGATGTAGATGTGAAGGCGCGGATCTGAAAAGCAGCAGCATATTTACAACTGAAGAACATCTGGAACTCAAAACAACTGTCAACCAACAGCGAGGTCAGAAATTTCGATACAAATGTCAAGACAGTTCTACTGTATGGAGGGGAAACTTGGAGAAGTACGAAAGCCATCATCCAGAAGATACAAGTGTTTATTAACAGTTGTCTGTGCAAAATACTTTGGATTCGTTGGTCAGATACTACCAGTTACAATCTACTATGGTAGAGAACAAACCAGATTCCAGTGGAGGAAGAAATCAGGGAGAAGCGCTGGAAGTGGATAGGACACATATTGAGTAAAGCACCCAACTGCATCACAAGGGAAGCTCTCATTTGGAATCCTCAGGGCCATAGGAGAAAAGGAAAACCAAAGAACATATTACGCCGAGAAATGGAGACAGATATGAGCAGAATGAACAACAGTTGGATAGAACTGGAAAGGTAGGCCCAGGACAGAGTGGGGTGGGGAATGCTGGTCGGCGGCCTATGCTCCCCTGGGAGTAACGGGCATAAGTAAGTAAGTAGTAAGTGAATTGAGTCAAGTTGATTGTGAATTCTAAACGTATAGTTATTTTGATCAAAACCCATAGATTACCTTGTACATATGGTGATAATTTGAAACTTATGATCTCAACATTTATTTATTTATCAAATAAAAAGTTATTGTTGTTGTTATAACTCTCGGTTTTTCATGTTTACATGAATGGGACGTTAATTTGCCTTAGACGAATATGTAGACTAGATCCCCTCCCAGTGTCTATTCTAAAAGACTTCAACAGAACTCAGATCAATAATACGTGATTAGCCTGACCAGAACGTAAATATACTTGCACACCAAAAGCCAACAGCAATCAACAATCGAGGTTGACATTCAATGGACGGCAATTATGGTTCCCTACCACCCATTTCTTAGAAATTGTAGGGTGTGAAAAAAAGTAGGGATCGGTGATTAGTGTACTTGTTTTGCAAGTATGTGCTCAAGTGATAATGAACAAACATTTTGTCACCTTTAATAATTTTGTAATTGGTCGTAAACTGTTCATCTTTGTAATCTGATTAGTTGAAACCGAAATAACATCAAGTGCTGTGATTGGATGTCAGAATTTTCATTTTTACATTTGAAATTTAACGACAATGAATAATTCTTTTAGTGTAATCTTAGTCTTGAAAAAAAATTTAGACTTTTGAAGAAAAAGACACCAACTTAATTTCACTACCGTGCAATACTACTGTTAGTGAATGTGTATCGGGATAAATTTTTGCTTCCCGATCAAGTAATTTAATGTCAACGTTCAATTGAAGTCGTTAGTTATCTTGACAAGAATAATTATATGTATCACATTAAAAGAAAGTTGTGGAAAAAGGAACTGAAAACCGGTTTGAATATTTGATAATAATGATTACTGAATGATATCGGTAGTCAAATGTTGAATACCAAATTAATAAACAAATTATCACCAAAATGTGTGCATATGTTTTTTTATTAGCACATAATATGTTAATCGAAAAAAGAAATCAACATATCAATAAATCATCATGATAAGTTACTGATTACGACATGTATAAATCAGGCGAACGAACCGTAAACCATCGGTTAATGAAGAGACTTTGACGGTATATCAAAGAAGTAATAATTTCTCCGAAATAGGCACATAATATTTATTAATGGGTTATTTGGTAAATAGTCCTTCTTAATAAGAATTAGAAAACGTTAGATTTCAATACGGTTATTTGTAAAATCCATTGAGACGATTTATTGTTTTCACGGGTACATTCTTTGTATTTTTGTATTTTAAGATTATTTTTTTGTCATAATAAAAACTAGTGTGTTTAAGCAGTCATGTGTGAACATTGTTAACCGTAATATGAAACCTGAAATATCTAGACATTACGAATGTAACCGTTTTTGACAATCATTTGAAATATTAGTTTCATGAAGTGTAAATGAACAAGTCTATGTCGTCTGACACAACAAATATCTATGGACATTAAAACGTATAAATATGAATAAGGTTTACTGCATCAATGAACATTTAAAATGTTATTACTATTTATTTTCCTTATGATCATTATTTGTCATTATCTATATCTTAAACTTCACATCCATCATTCCCAATTCCTTGATCGTAATTACCTTGATAACACCCTCCTTATTACATATTATATTCACACAACAATCTTATTATTATTATCTGAATTGACAAAATTACATTCTCCTACTATGCATTTAATCCGGACAAAATTTTTTGCATTTTCAATTTTGCTCGAATACTATTCTACTTATTGTGCAGTAAAGTGTTCACTACAAATCATCCAGACCTTTAATAAATGACATTTCTAATTTGAAAATATTACAATTTGTAAGTATATATATATATATATATCGTAACAGATGTAAACGTTCACGATTGTTAACACATAACATTATCAAATTCATTAATACCATTCCTTATTTTTTGCCTTTGTTAAATATTAAAATTATGGACTTATGAGTGTCGAGCCTCATGATGAAGTTATTGAAAACTATTGTTCGCTCAAATATCGCCAACATTAACTGCACAGCCATTTTTGTATTTTTTTGAGCGGAATTTTTCTTCATCCCCATCTTCCAATAATTTTCATTCTGTTTCGTTCAATGAAATAGCTAGTTTTAAGTTCGTTATAATTGGTCGTTTATTTCTTAAAATCGATATAATGTGTCAGGACTTGACGATAGAGTATATTTTCTTCCAATTATGAACGGTAGTAACATGCAAAGCACGAACTCTGTCGTTCCTCACATTGTCACAGAAACTGATAACCTATTCTTGAACACGTTGTATCTCGTAGCGTTCAAATCTCTTGAAGCGTTGAAGAGCGCCATTAGAACTTATGAAACAGCTACGTACTGCCATTATGTGATGAGAGATTCTCATTTCCATAGAGATCGGAAGCCGTATATTAGATTCGTATGTTGGAGAAATGACCGTAGAACATCTAGCGGTTTCTCACAGCCGAGTAGACGAACGAGGTAATTTGATTAGTGTTATTATAATTTTTCATTAAGGACTACCGTAAACACTCAATCTCCTTCCTTCATCTTTTGTAAGTTTATTGAAGGTTACTGGACTGTTGTTTGTGGGAATGTGCATCAAAATCACGAGTGCAATTCCCTAACGTACCAAAGTAATTCTTGGATGCGCAGGTTAACGGAGGTAGAATTTGTAACAATGAGACCACTTTCGATATCTGGGACAGCAGCATTCAATATTATGCACTTTGTTTACCAATCTTATAGAAAGCGCATTAATGCTGAAAATGTTTTTAATATGCGCCACAAAGTGTTCTCACAAGCCAACCTCTCTGGTAAGCAATGTACCTATTTAAATTGTAAACGTTAGGTGATTACTCCAAATTGAAAGATCACATCATGTCGCTTGGTGGCCTTTGTGAATACGACTTAGATGGAGATAATTGTCTGTTGTATTTCTTCTTCACAACAGCAGATCAAATGAACATATCAACTCGATTTTTTGATGTTGTTGGTTTTGATGGGACCTACAAAACCAATAAGGAAAATTTATATTTGTATCAGGTTGTAGCACTTGGTATGAATTTCATGGCAATACCTGTTTGTATTGCATTCATAAGTTGCGAAACATCTAGTTTACTTGCTCAATTCCTGTCGTTCTTCCGCCGATCAACTAACAATCGAGAGGTGGTAGGCATTGTGACAGATGACTCACCTGCAATAGCTGCTGCCATTATGCAGGTGTATCCCAATTCCCATCACATTTTGTGTCGCGTACACCTAATTCGTAATGTGGTAAGGAGGGTAAGCTTTTCGTTGCTTAACATTAAGCCATTAACCGTCATTGTAGAGGCTACGAGCAGAAACTATACAACTTTTCTTCCGTCTAATGTTCACTAGAAATGTGGAAAGGTAAATAAAAATATGCATTACAGTCTTTTGTAGTTTCCATAGTTATCTTCCATTAATTGAAGCATCAGACGGAAATTTTTACCAATATGTGAGAGATCACTTGTTGCCTAAAAAGCACAAGTGGTCAAATGATTTTCGACCGGCAGCGATGCTCTTGGGACAAAGTAATACGAATTTCGTTGAGACAACTCATCGGATTCTCACATTGCATAAGCTGAACAGAAGAACACCCGTGTTGAGATCAATATTCAGTGTGCTTCTTCGCACTGGATATTGGATCGATGCGCGAATGCAGAAGTATTATTGTGATTGTCGTAA